AGTGTCTTACAAGACAAAAATGAGGATGAGAGCACTGTGAAAGAAGTGCATGAAATAATATCAAAAGATGTTGAATTCAATACTGTTATGCATCTTAAGGATTGTCAATATAACCAGACTGGTAATGAATTGAACCCAACTGTTTCAGTGCAAGGTAGCTTTCATCAAGGTGATCCTCAATTTCTGAACAATTCTGGGAGACAGTGTGTGGCAAATGCCTTAGTGTCTGTCATATTTAGTAATATCAAAGATATTTGTTCATGGGATAAATATGATCTGGATACCATACTTAGAAGTGGAAATGAGTTATACGGGTATTTACAAAATTCTACAACGATAAATCATGAGCTTCTATTAGTAACAGAACTGCCACAGATATTAGATATATTTGATACACAATTTACTTTGAGTATTGGGGAACCATTATTTGGTATTATAGGGAAAGTTGCTGTTGAGACGGATTTTTTTATGTCATTTGATAATGCATTAAATGTATCATTAAGAGAATATAATGCCTGCTTTGTTATTTTTGGAGGAGCAGCTTTTGCAGTGATTAAGAAAGACTCGATATATTGGGTATTTGATTCACATTCAAGAAATTCCAAAGGAATGGTAATGCCTGATGGAGCTAGTGTACTAATCATGTTCAATAGTGTGAAGGAAGTGCATGAGCATTGTTGTAATCTAGCATTATCCATGCATGCAATTGAGAATGAACAATTTGAAGTGACAGGAATTAGTGCAAATGTTGATTGTCATACTGGAGGTAATAACGAAACTCTGTCTGAAGACGATGTACAAGTTATTGCAAGTGAGCATACTCCATTATTATATTGTCCGCTAACTTTGGAACTACGTGAATCTCTTTGTACTGTTCTCAATATTCAGAATGAAGATAAAACAGAATACATACACAGTCGTCTAAATATGGAAATGGGTGAACCATGTAAAACTAAAACAATTAAGGAGGATGGTAATTGCTTTTTTAGAGCCTTGTCATATGCACTCTCTGGTACTGAAAACAATCACCGGAAAATAAGATTAGCCATTGTAAAACACCTGAAGGATAATCCTACAGCATTTCGTTCTTGCCTAAGATCAGACTATGATTCTGTTGAAAATTATCTACTTGCATCACGTATGAAGTATTTAACAACATGGGCAACAGAAGTTGAAATACTTGCAGCAGCTGATCTGCTGAGAACAGATATTTATACATTCACTCGTGATAAATGGCTCAAGTATTCAAACCATCAAATTCACAACAATGCTCTTAATTCTGGAAAGGCAATTTATTTAAAACACTGCCTGAATATACATTATGAATTTGTTGAATGTGTTAAGCAACTAGGTGTGGAAACCTGTGGATGTACGCATAATGTGGGCATGACATATTGCAGTATGGAATTTGAGTCGCAAGTTCGACAACGGAGAGGAACGAAAAGAAACTATATATTAGCACAATGTGAACAATGGAAGACAAAAAAAGAAGAAAGTCCTCTACCAATTATCATACCAGATCATCTTAAACACAGAACAAAAAGAATTAAACAATACGTGGCAAAGAGAAGGAAATTAGACAAAGAGAAGGAACGATATCATAATGATACAGAGTATCGTGAGAAAAAGAAAATTCAGAATATAACTAGATATGAACAAAATGAAATTCACAGAGAAGTAAAAAAGAAAC